GACTAGAATGTGCTCAGGGAAACAGGCTTCTGGTTAAGTCTTTGTGGACTATGGGGCCTTAGGTGGAATCCTGAGCCCCACCTAGAACCTTTAGAGATGGGACATTCCCAATTGAAAAGACCAACCTGGAATGGCGAGAGGAACAGAAAACACTTCTTGAAAGAAACACTGGGGTGGAGGTGGGGAGTGCAGCTAGGGAGAGGGGAAAGCAGACTGCTTGACTGTGACAATATCAACCAAGGTGTTTGCCTTGGAGCCATCAAAGCAAGAAGTCAGCCCATCAGGGTAAACCCCTTTCTAAAACTGAAACTCAAAGGGAATGCACCAACAGTCCTGGCTGCTCTCTGGTGAACTCAGTGGTCAACTTGTGAGTGGAAGTGGGGGAAATGCAGCAATAAAGACCTGGGTTGAGTTTGGCCATATTCCATAGACACCCGATGATCTTGACATGAGCGAGAGAAGAGGAAGGGCTGTCTGGTTTGAAGTTCAGTGGAACGTGTGAACTCCTGAGCCCACAGACACTGACCTAGGCACTGGGGGATAGAGTTAAGAGAGGAGGCATGCAAGAATTCCCAAACTTGCAGATAGTACCCATTTGACCTTGCTTGGATAGCTTGCTAAGCAGAACTCGATCAGATGAAGATGAAGTTTGCTACAGGGAACAAGCATAAATTGCTACAATTTGACATACTGGACTTTTGCTTATGGATGAAGTTGCCCAAAATCCCAACCAAAAAGGAAAGATTCATCATATCAAGGATCAAACTTGCCTCCTCAGTACATTGGGTTGATAGTGACGGGTAACTTAAGACTTTGTTATCAAAATTAAGGGGCTACAAAGGCACAGCAGGAGAAAAATGAGACTTTCTACTCCCCTAAATATTTACATCCTCAGAAACCCTATGCAGGGTCACTATGAGTTAGAACTGACTCCACGGCACACTACCACCACCACCACCAAAGGCACAAAGTGGCTGGTTTACAAGTTTTCATGAGGATGCTTAGTGTCAGAGTGAAGTGAGTAAGATAGAATTCCCACCGAATAATTTTCCTCTTGTCTAGATGGGTCTGGTTGTGATGGGGATAGGATTTGATGATTTCAGTTATGAGTAATTGTTATCAGGACTAATGACGACGATCACAACTGTAAATGTAGAAGAGGTGTAACTAAAAGAAGGGAGCAGTTAATCTGTCAGGAACAGAGAACCCTAGGATCATCAAGAGGGAAGAGCATAAGTGGAGTGAGGTAGCCTAACCAGAAAATCAGTGACAACAGAGATGGTGGCAGAGGCGATGGCCTAGAGAGATAGAGCAGCAGAGGATTAGAGGCCTATGGGCAGGAGGCTGGCTTGCAAAATGTGCCCTTTTCAGAGCCGATGACGTGGAGAGATGGAGCACCTGGGGACTCTAGACCCAGAGAGGGAGAGGGGCTGCGTGCTGATGACCGAGGGGCAGGCTTGCAGGCTATACCCTTTGTTTGATTGATGATGTATGATGGGGATTATAATCATGGCAATGAAACGATATATGATAGGATGAATGCAAAGCTAATGTAAAGCTAATAAAAAAAAAAAAAAGTGCCCTTTGCACATTTAAATGAATATATATTTTCAATGTGGTATGTACACATCACAAAAAGGGGGGGGGGGTAATAGAGGTAAATACTGTTAACTGATGGTGCATTGCAATGATTTGTTGAGTGTAAAACTAACTGATGATCTGCCTGCCCCGTAAAACATCACTTAATTTACAATAGAAGCTTTTGTTTCTTAAAAAAAAAGGATTTCAAGATCTATCTTGAAGTACAACACTGTCTATGATAGAATAATATCCAGACGCCTACAAGGAAAATCAGTTAATACAACTATTATTCAAATTTACACATCAAGCACTAAAGCCAGTATTGATGAAATTGAAGAATTCTACCAACTTCTTCAGTCTGAAATTAATCAAATAATGGAAGCATGATGTATTGCTAATTACTGATGATTGAAATGCAAAGGTTGAAAACAAAAAGGAAGGCTCAGTAATTGGAAAATACAGCATTGGTGTTAGAAATGATGCTGGAAATCCCATGATAGAATTTTGCAAGACCAATGACTTCTTCATTGCAAATACCTTTTTTAATCAACATAAAAGACGACTATACACATGGACTTCACCAGATGGAATGCACAGAAATAAAATTGACTACATCTGTGGAAAGAGAAGGTGGAAAAATTCTATATCATCAGCCAAAACAAGGCCAGGGACAGACTGTTGAACAGACCATGAGTTGCTCATATGCAAGTCAACGCAGAAGTGGAAGAAAATTAAAACAAGTCCAGAGAGCCAAAATATGACCTTGAACACATCCCACCTGAATTTAGAGATCATCTCAAGAACAGATTTGACACATTACATACACACTAAAGATGGAAGACCAGAAAAGTTGTGAGATATCATATAGGAAGAAAGCATCATTAAGAAGATAAGAAAGAAAGAAAAGACCAAAATGAATGTCAGAAGAGACTGTTAAACTTGCTCTCCAGCATAGAGATGCGAAAGCAAATGGTGGAACTGAGGAGGTAAAAGACCTGAACAGAAAATTTCTAAGTGAAGCTCTGACAAGACAAAGTCAAATATTATTATGAACTGTGCAAAGATTTGGTTTTAGCCAAATCTGTAGTTTAAAAACTAAAAATTTTAAATTTTAGCCAAGCAGTAGATGTTGTTGTTGTTAAGTGTCGTGGAGTCTGTTCTAACCCATAGTGACCCTGTATAGGGTTTCCGAAGAGTAGCTGGTGAGCTTGAACTACCAACCTTGCAGTTCAAAAGGTTTTGCAGTTGGGCGCATTAACCCACAGTAGTAAATACGGGAGGCGGGGTAGGGGATGGGGGAAGGCACAATAACACTAGCAAAGTAAGTTAACCATAGTATTTCAGTCATTCAATTTTCCTAACTGCAAAATTGCAAAGGGAAAGGAAGGTGGGCAGAATGCAAATAGGAACCACAGAGAGGAAGCTGGATGTTACAGTAACTGTTGTTACACTGAGAGTAATGTAATCATCGAGATGAAACGGGGTATGATTTGTTGAAGGTAAAGTTAATGATCTCCTCTGTAAACCCTCACTCAATTCACAATAAAAAATTTTAAAAAACAAGATTAAAGGAGCTGAAAGAACTACACATGTTACCGAACGAGCCAGGGAAAGGGAATTCTCCTGGACTTCCAGCAAGGAGTCGCAGATTCCGGTGAGGTGTAGGGGACGCAATAAATGATCAAAACTACTGGAATGTGAGAAAGCAGGTTTAATAGAAAGCGAAAGTACACTCCATAGGCAAGTGGGTCTGTCTCTAAAAACTAGTGAAATACGCGTCGAACATGGCTGTCTAGGGGTATTTCTTCTTTAAAATGTCTGTCTCTGATGTTCTTGTACCTCATAGACTTTTCTTCTTTTTGTCTCCTTATTTAGTTACCTGTGGTTGCTGGTGGTTACCACTGGGGTGGGGGTTAGGGGTGTCCGGGTCTGCCCCTCCTTCCTTACATCCTTGTTCTATCACACAGAGAAAACGATGGAGCAGTTCTAATCTGGGACAGAGGTAGATATGAGTTGAAACCTACAGTAAATGAGTTGATGACATCTAACAGCAAAAAGTTCCATATAGTAATACCTAACCGTGGTTATTAAAATGTAAAATGTCCTGCCTCACCCGGATTTTTTGCACACGGATTTAGACAAAACAGAACAAAGTGGAGGCAACTGGGAGCTAAGAGCAGTTTCTGAGTCTAGCCAGAGGAGCGACGGGACGGTCCCCTACCCCACAGAACCAGGGGGGATGTCCCCAGGTAATCCCGGCGAGGGCGCGCCCTGGCCTCCCATTGGCTGAGGGGCGGAGTCACCTGCCCCGAGGGTGGGAGCGGAGACCGGAAGCCGGGAACTGCGCCCCGCGGGGCCGCAGAAGGGACGATATGACTGGGTCTTGGCAGTGGGTCCTCCTGCTCCTGTTCCTGCTACAGTCCGCTCCAGGTAAACGTAAAGGGACTGCCGGGGGAGGGCCAGGGATGGCGGGACGACCTGGGACTCGCGTGGGTGTGGGGTGAGGATGGGAGACAGGACGGGGCCATAGACACCGCAGCGGGGTGCGAATCGAATCGTCCCTGCCTACCCGTCTAGTTTTCTTTGTGAGCGATACCCACTGAAATTCCTTTCCTGAGGAAATCCAGGTTCTTCACTGCATTAGGTGACTGAAGGAAAAAGAAAGAAAGAAAACAAATCGAAAAGCAACCGCATTTATTTTATAAAGTGTGTGTGTGTGTTTTTAAGGTTCCTTAAAGCATTAAGCCAGCAACACGCCCCCCACACACCCGCACCCCCGTTGTCTTTGAGTGGGTTCCAACTCATAGTGAACACGTAGGACAAAGTAGAACTTCCCCTTAGAGTTTCCTTAGCTCTGTTTCCTGCCACCACTCGTCTGTCAGTTTGTCATGCTGTGGTGACTTGTGAGTTGCTGTGATTCTGAAAGCTATGCCACTGGTATTTTAAATACCAGCAGGGTCACCCATGGTGCACAGGTTTCAGATGAGCTTCCAGATGAAGACAGACTAGGAAGAAGGAGTGACCAACTACTTCCGAATATTTAGTCACTGAAAACCTTACAAATAGCAGAGATACACTGTCAGACATAATGCCAGAAAATGAGCCCCTCAGGTTGGAAGGCACTCAAAATGCGACTGG